CTTCCCCCTCTTTGTACATCATTGTTATGCCTCCCTGCTTCTCTTCCCTGTACTCTCACAACCAAGTCATATGCACTTGTTTATTTTAATCTGTTCAACTGGTCACTTTTGCTGCTGTTCTCTGACCGCTGCCATGGCATCCATACCTGAGCCGGGTAGGAGATGTCACACTGTATGTTGGGGCCAAGCTGAAGTCAAAGGTGGAGGCACAGCTCAAAGGAAATCTTCACAAGGAAAGTTGAGTGCTGCAGTGAGAACCGAGGCAAGCCCAGGGAGGCAGCAGTCCAAAGGAAGAGGCGAAAGCATGGGCAAAGGCCATGCCAAAGCCCTGTAATAAGGGAGATGGCCAGCAGCAGGAGTAAGGGCCAGGGTAGGGGGAGGGGAGCTCTGAAACTCGCAGCTAGAGAGGCAGAGGTGGGAATAAGAACCTTAACTTGGAGGCAAGAGACCAAAATGCAGCTGCCTATCCCTGAGGAGCAGGCTGCAGAGCCAGAAGTGACTGGTAGGACTCTTCTGCATAGCTGGTGGAGGTGGCAACAGCTTGTGAGGCTCACAGGCCAACACTGTGTGCTTAGGCAACAGGTTGTGGTCAGTTGAAGCTTAGTTTGGTAGTAGAGAATGAAAGCAATCAGGAGGCTGCAGCTTTTTTTGTCTGCTCGAGATTGATGGTGGTTTGAAAACTCCTTCCACTTTGTGGATGTCTTCATGCTTCTGAGGGATCAAAATGGATTATGGGATTCCAAACAGGATCTCTGCACTTCTGTGTCCAGAGGGATTTGTGGCTGGGAAACAGCTAGTCTCTTTTCCCTGAGAGTTACAGAACAGTTTTTTCCCTTCTTAGTAAACATACAGTCCAAAATTATTGTTTATGCCAGGCTTATACACTGCCTTGCACACCTTGCATTTTTATGTTTTTATGTTTTGTCCCTCCCATTGACAGTCTGGAGTTGATTATTTTTCCTCGTAAGTTTTAACTGTTTTCACATGCAGTCTCACTTTATTTTCTAAGTGACGTATTTACCTAGGCTTATTTTCCTGCCCTGAAAGATACAAGTGGCTTTTTTTGACCTTAGCCTAATTTAAACCTGTCATTTACATACTTTTACCCTCTAACACTAGCATCTTCAGCGTTTCAGGAGAAATGTGATGATGCAGAGAGCAAGAGGAAGGAATGAACCAAAATGAGCTGGGACTAGCCTTTTGTTCCTCTGAGACAAGTCTAACATAGTAGTGCTGAGTTCTTTGGGAAAGTTTGTGAAAGTACTCTAAAAGTAGGGAAGAGCACTAGGTCACAAAATACCAGTCAGTCCTTACGAAAGAATTGGAACGGTGCTGTATCCTAAGAGTGCTTTATTCTATGCTAGTGCCATAGGGTCCTGTGGAATGTCAGTCCTTCGACCCAATTTTTTTTCTCAGCCGTTTAGGTCTGCGGCCAGCTTTTTTTTTTACCTGAAGCAGCATCACCTGTGTGCACTTTGTGCATTTAGATTGGTGGAGACCCTCATACAATTTTGACCTCAGCTTTCAGAGGTAGGTTCAGATTGGATGCTGGTGTGTGTATTGCATGTCAGAGCATATCTAGATGCCATAATGCAAAATTATTTCCCTGCTTTAAGTACCTCTGAAAGACAGTCTTTCCTGTCAGATGCATTTGTTCATTGACAGTGAGTTTGTTAGGCCCATACACAAAGGCACAGTCCCATTGACGCAGATGTTGACACATGAGCACAGTCATATTAACGCATGTACACACATGCAAGGTCTCTTCTGATGCAGGCATGCTGCAAAGTGCTTCAGCTGGGGCTGGAATAGGACTCTGAACTGAGGGTACAGGATGAAACAAGGCCATTGCTGGAGGAGGTTGTGAAGGTTTCTGGGCAGCTAGCATGAGCTGCAAGAGCTAAGGCTGCCACCTCTAGTCTCTGTTACAGTATTTTCTGTTTTAAGAGAGCCGATCTTGAGACCATCGGTCTCTAGGTTGTTCAGTTTCAGAAAAGGAAGAGGGGGAAGAAAAGGAGTGGGAAGAAGCTTGTGGCAGCACTTTTCAGAAGTGCTCAGTGTCTCATTTGAAATGTGAGTGACAGAGGCTGACAGAGAATTGCTTCCCTCAGCCTTTCATCTATACTTGCTTCCTCATTACAGTCTATCTACTCGCCAGGTTCCTCTGTTTTAGATGCTGCATTCGAGAGAAGAGATTACCCCATGTTTTGTCATTTGGCCAGCCCTGGTTTCTAAAACTTACAGTGAAAGTTGAGACAGACAGTGGAGGCAGCACAGCAGATTGTATCAAAAAGACAGCATTCCTTCTTGCAGGTACAGCTTGCATCGCCCTTCTCCATCTTCAGTTGAAAAGGTGGTGCAAACAGGGACATGTAAACCTCTAACATGATTATTAATACAAAACTCAGTATTTTTGTCCACTCGAGGTCATCTCTCCTAAATTTCTATGCAAACGGAGCCCATGTCTAGTCATACAGCCTCTCATCTGTGTGTCTCTGGGGAAAATGCTAGTTCAGTTTTCTCACTTAGCGCTAGACTGCTGCTGTTTACAGTTAGGTCAGTTGTCTACAACCTGAAACTGTTAGCGGATCTACAGATCCGCTAACTAAACTAAGAAGTGCTGTGTCTTGGGAAAGGCCTCGAGTCTTCTCTGCTCTGAGCTGGCCCTTTCTGTTTTGGGAAGGTTGGAGGCTAGTGCATGAAGTATGAACACATGGATGGTTTCACAGCACGAGGATAGTGGCTGATACGCCTTACTCTTTGCCATGTCCTCAGTGCGTGCACACGTTTATACTCCCCCCTCTACTGGTAACTGCAGACAAGTCAGACATAGCCAGGAAGTCTGTAGTCTCTTCCTTAGAAACTCCCCTTTGGGGTCCAGATGTCCTTCTGACAGCAGGTTTCACTCTTGCAATGTCAGTTGTGGTTGTGTGTGGATGACAGTTTTGAAATCCCGTCAGCCTGTACCTTCCTCTTAACTTTCTGGAATACATCGCAGCTCGTGGCTGGGCTGAGACGAGATTGGGTCACTGACCGACCTGGAGGCAGCAGGGCCTGAGCGCACCATCGTTCAGTCCCTCAGTTGAAGGTTCAAACTTGTCCTTTGAAGAAGCACTGCAGTGCTGCTGGTAGTGTTTCATTCTTCGCAGTAATTAATGTTTGAATGAATCTTTTGCATGGTTTAAAGGAATGTGGAGATGCACTCAGTACACGCAGCTTTGTGTTTCGTGCTCAAACGTGCCCAGAGACATCTGATATCTGCATCAGTGAGGGGCCTACGTGGGATTAAGAAAAAACAGCAGGTTTAAGTTTGTTTCATTCATCTCTAGCTGACGCTCTATACCTCTCCGTAAGGTCTTCAATTGCTGCAGGATTTACTATGAGGAATTTTTTTTTTTTATGTTGGTTGTGATAGCCACGCTATTCCTTTGAGAGCTGGAGTCTCTTTGAATTTGTTGCAATTCAGATCTGTTAGGTTGCAGTCTTTCACATTAGGTTTTCTTACTTTCTGCCAGTTTGATTTCACGTTTGTTGCTGTTGTGTTTATCCTGGACAGTCTGTTTCTTCAGTGACTATAGGCACCAAAGGAAAGGGAGCTCTGAATTCCTCACACTGTCCATGTTCCAGTCTGAGTCTGTGTTTACCGAGGTCATGTGAATTAGTATGCCCTATGATTTTAACACCTGCATCTATTACCTGCCACAGTATAACGGGATATGGCAGGAGCCCAGCAGGCTTGACAGTATGACTGTATTTGTACTTGATGACTGTTGCCCTCGGAGTTCTATGAGGGGATGGCCTGTAGAAGTATTGCTTTTTCCTTTGCCTTTGGCATTTTAAGACAAGTTACAGTCTAGTCCAGGTGCCCCGAAAGGAAGAAGGGGCTTGGGGCTGTGGTCCTCTGCCTCTTGCCAGTCAGCGCTGTGGAGTGTGATGCACACCCCTGGGCACCTGATGCTTTTATAGCTGGGCTGCTGCACAGCCTTTTGTCCCCCTCTCTCTTTCAGAGAGTGGCAGGCTTCCAGTCCTGAGCTCAACCGGTCAAGTTAAACTGGTACAGGCCTTTAACAGAGATGCTTTTTAAATCAGTTAATCCCTTTAGCTTGCATTGGTAAATCACTGAATTAAGATCAACTGATTTAAATGCATGTCCAATCAGATTAGGTGCGTTTACATTAGCAGTTTGCGTCAGTTTAACTACAGTCCATACAGACAAACCAGTAAGCATTTTTTTTTGTGCAGGTAGGACTTTTTGGAAAAAGGTGATTGGATTCACTTTCCATATTCAGGTTCTGCAGTGGAGTTAGAGCTGCTACATAATAGAGATGCATTTTAGTATGAGTTTCTGGTCCCAGAGAAGGGGATCCTCAGGTGATTGGTGGTAAATCTATTTTCTGAAGGTGGCATAATGGTCATTGCCTGTAGGTATGATGTTGGCTTTAAATTTCTTGCTATACATCAAGGGAAGATTTGTCATCCTCCTCTTTGATACATCCTTACTCTTTGTCACAGCTTCTGGCAGCTGCCAGTAATGGGGGAATGCCATGTTTTCACTGTATCAAAATTGTCCTTTAAGTTGGTCTGTGGGCTCTGCAGTATATGCCACAAGACCTATCGCAACTGGCAGCAGCAAGCAGTATGTTACTGGAAGCTTCAACAAAGGCTGCTGATTGTGAAGTCTGGAATTTCCCTCTTGCGCACGTGGAGAGGTTAGGGCTGAAGTTCCCCAGTGGGAACTGGTAAGCAGTAATGAAAACTTATCCTGCTGTGATAAATATTCTAGCAATAAAGAGACAATTTTATATCTGGGTGTGCTAATCTTGTACCATAGTTTGTTAAAATATTTTGTTTCCAGTCAATAACTTTGACAAAATAAAGCTAATTGTCCCTCTTTATAAATAAGGAAACAAAATCTTGAGGCTTGCTTGTAATGCGACTTTGGGAGTGAATAGCTTCAGTAGTTGAGATCTTGTCTCATATGCATATGTTTTTTTCCGCAGGTATTTCCTTTTTGACTTTCGGTAGCAGAGAGAAACTAAAGACCTTGAAGACGCCTACAGCCCCTTGCTCATCAGTAACAATGCTCCAGCGATGAGGTTACAGTGAGCCCTTCCTGTGTGGCCTCCATGGGTCCCACTCAACTCACCACACAGGATCATGGGAAGCGGGTGGCAAGTGTGTTTGAGATGGAGGAGGAAGGGCTTTCGCTCTTCCCTGGCTCAGACAACCCTCCTGAGCATGCAGGTATGGAAAAAGTCTTACTAAATCCACACAAGCTAAAGGCATTATGTTTTCTTTCAGCTGCAAACAGAACCGATATTTAGCAGAATTGTAGAGTGAGTTCTGCTACGCTTGAGTCACTCAGGCATAAAAGAAGACAACAGACACCAGAATCATACTTCAAGAGTAGTCTGCCACAAAGAGCTGAGGTTAAAAGAGTATCAGGAAAGAGAATTGAGATTTTTATGGTCATAATTGCAGCTGACACACAGAATCCTGTTGTACACTCAAACTGTAAGAAGACGCAATATATCACCACTGGACAGGTAACAGGAAGAAAAACAAAGCCCAAGTAATGCATCTGGCAGAGTATCAGCAACTTAATGAAGATATTAGAAATAAATTTAGCCAGCTGTTAAACAGTTATACGGTTGCCAGTCCTTGATATCGGAAGAAGAGGTGATCTGAACATTGAACTAGGACCCGTCAATACGGTAG